CTTTAATAAAAAGCCTATATAATTACTAAATCAACACTATTGGTAGCAAAATGAGTGCAAAATGTAAATGAAAGATGAAAGGATAGATACATTTTAAGATAGTAATACCTAAAAAAATAGTTACATGAGACCACAATAATTTGATCTGATTGACAAATGTAAGTATTCTCCAAAAGCTCTACCAAAGTGAGAATTTATCTTACAGTTGTAACCATCCCAAATTTTATATAAGCAGCTTAGTTTTACTCAAATCATACTCTATAAAAAGCTCATCCTCTTCTAAGACAAGATTTATCTGAGAAATACTGATAAATCTCTTCCCAGGAATTCTGTGAAATCCGGAATCTCATAGTAAATACTTGCATGCCAAACTGATTATGACTTAGATTACCAAATTCAAAGGGCCATTATAGTACATCTGTTGTTTTGATGAGTTTCTGGGGCCTCTGAGTCCCACTGTAAAGAAAATAGATATCCTGGATTTATTTTATTGTCATGAGAATCAACTATATAATGTAACTAGTAAATGAATGCAGGCTGCTAGATTTACTTTTGTTTTTCCTCTTCCATGTTGAGAGTTTAAGTAATTAAGCTCTTAATAAAACTGGCATCTAAAAATACCTCATAATTGAACAAAATATGAGTGGTTTTTCCCAAGAAAAACATCATCTAAATTATAATTTCCTAAAGGAATTTGGATAGTAATTCATTTCAGTCCCATAGTTAACCAAATATGAGGTTGTAAACTTGAGACTGAGTGAGATTTATGAATTGTTCAATTATGCTTGTAAATAAACCCAGATCACTTATTTTCTAGCAGTTCTATGTTGACAGAATTATAGCACTCTTTTCATATTATCTAACTTTGATGTTCTCTTATATTTATTTCCCTTTTTGTTGACATGATTATCAATTACGCAGGTGTTTTGAAAATATTGCCAACTTTGGATTTACAGTTGCGGCAGATGGTTGAAAAGGAAAAGATAAATACAACAATTCCATAAAATTTATGTTTTATGGTACTTTTTAGAATTAACAGACTGAAACTACCCTATCAGTGCCTGTCTTTGGTCAAAAACAATCTAGCTAGAAATAGCTTTATGTGGAATGATTCCACTGTTCAAAGGACAAGTTCATGTGGGCATTTAAGATCATGCAGGAGGCCCATCTAACTTCTCTTCTTTCTTTCCCTTGACCCCTGTGTGTGAACACTGCCCTCCAGTTAACTGGATAACTCACTATTCTCTGACTTCAGTTCTCAATTTTCTTCTTATGTAGACACTTGTCCATTTACCATTACTGATTGATTAACTATGAAACATTGAGTTAGGAGCTGGAGCTACACTAAGGAACAAGAGGGACACAACTCTTATTCTGACAATTGAGCGGGACTTGCGAACAAGGAAGTTGGCAATGGCAACTTAATGTGATAGGTTTTACTCTCTTCCAAAATGTCTCCTTTGGTCTATTTCAATTAGCAAAAAATAAAGCATTTCCTATAAGCAGTGTCATATAGTATTTACTATGTGAATTTGACAAATAATGTCATGTGTGAAGTATGCATCTAGGAAAAGTGGGAGTATCAAACATAAAATGGAACCCACCAAGGTCAGTTTGCTAAGAATTAGGGAGCTGAAATGAACTGCTATTGATCATCCTGAATTTCACAATGATTTGGTCTACTATGCCAGGGTTGCATCTTCACACAATATTTATCCATATGCGGAGCAAAAAAACCCGAGAAATGGGACAATAGGTAGAAGATTGCAGCATCAGGATTGGAGGAAAACTCACGAACACTCTGTCACCATCCTGGGCTGATGACACAAGCGTGCTTGCTGGAAGTGATGAGGACATGAAGCATTTAGAGATGAATTCAAAGACTGCAGCCTTCAGTATAGATTAGACATCCTCATAAAGAAAACAAGCGTCCTCACTACTGAACCACTAAGCAACATCAGGCTAAGCGAAGAAAGAGTGAAGTTTTCTAAAAGCCTGACAGTTCTAGAATTTCATTTTATTTAAACTATGTTTCCTCGTTGGCTTCATATAAATCATATAAAAATTTCTGTGAAAATTTTCTTTGAACATATGTTAGGGATCCTTTTGAGGGTCGACACCACATACTGTCTCCCTTTTACGAGGACAGATGGTAACAGTATGCCATGTGTCACTTCATGGCAGCAACTCTCCTTTTATCTTAAAGGAGCTGTGAAGTCCAGTGGTCAAGGGTGGACTCTTGGAAGGAAGAAATAAATAAGCCTGTGTCCAAGTCCTAAGGATTGCATGTTGATGGTTTAAATTAAATATTTAGTCTGTCTTTCTTTCTCCATTTGTAAAATGAGGTGAAAAAATTGTCCTTTACTTGTGATTATTATGAGGACTAAATAAGATAAAACACACATTTTCTGTTGTGGTTGTCTGCTGTCCAATATTTATAACTCAAAGCAACCATATATGAGAGTAGAATTGCCCCATAGTGTTTCCTAGGCTGTAATCTTGACATGAACAAATTGCTAGGCCTTTTTCCCACCGGTGAGTTCAAATGGCCAACCTTTCAGAGAGCTGCTGAGTGTTTAACAATTGCTCCAGCAGGGTTCTTTTAAACAAGCATTGCTTCGTTGGTTCTCGTTGCCTTCCAGTCTAGGCAGTCCTGGCTCATTGCAACCCTATGTAGAACAGAAGGAAGCACCGTCTAGTCCTGCACCATCCTCACAATCGTTCTTATGTTGGAGCTCAGAGCCACCATGTTCATCCATCCATTGAGGGCCTTCCTCTTCATTGCCTCGCCTCTACTTTACAAAGCGTGTTGTCCTTTTCCAAGGCATCGTCTTTCCTGATAACATGTCCAAAGTACGTAAGACCAAATATCACCATCCTTGCCGCTAAAGAACATTCTGCTTATATTTTTTCCAAGATAGGAATCAAGTATACATAGATATTCAAAAATGCCTAACATAAGTGGGCAACCCTTGCTAGCTATTCATGATTATTAGAGAAATATTACCCTCTGATATTAAGTTTGTTTCCCTTTCTATTTTCTGTTTTCTAGAACAACTAAAACAGTATATGCTGTTTATTATTTATTTTTAGTTTCAATCAGTTGTATTGAGCTATCATTAACATATCCTCCAATGTACTAGTTCAATCATAGGAAGAAGGGTTGTGCAGTCATCACCACAATCAACTTCGGAACAGCTTCTTCCTTCATGTACCTTAGTGTCGACTTTCCATTTCCCTCACTTCCCATTCCAAGCCCCCAGGTAATTATTATTTCAGGTACTGTCCTCATAAATTCTGGGTTTCCTATTCAGCAAAACATATGAAACAAGGACAATGAATTGGGGGAGGGTGGGGCCCAGCATCAATGATCATATGCTACTTTTAATGACACTTTGTCATAGGCACACTATCTTATACTTATTTTTCTACTTTTATTATTCCCTAATCCACAATTTCTTATTTAATATTATTATGTCTTTGTTGTAAAAAAGTATATTAGAATTGTATATTTCAAAAAATTTTGGTGGAATTAGGGAGTTTAAACATGTATGTTTATGGGGAGAGGAGTCAAGATGGAGACCAGGTAGAATTACCTGCTCAGCGCTCCTGCTGCCAGATGGGAAAATTAAGAAGGAGGCCAAGACTGGGAGGCTGGGTACTACAAATAGATTCAGTGTATTGGGGTCCAGCTCAGACCTCCCCTTTGATTTTCACCCACAAAGTGATTCAAGAGCACATGGAAATGCTCTAAGTTCATTGCATCTGCCAGCGGGCACCACAACCCCAAGCCAGGATCAGAAAGACAGTGTTTGTGACACATTCCTGCACCCTATTCCAGCAATTTCCCCAGACTGCTGTCTAAAAGTGGTCATAATCTCAGGCTCACAGAAAGCCTCTGAGAGCTAGCCACAAGACCCCACATCAGAGTTACCCATGCTGCTAGCCACCCTGCACTTGCAGTCTAGGGGTTAGCAACTCCCCTCCCCAACCAGGAACAGAGGGAATACATCAGCCATGCCCTCCCCACTTCTCCACAGCTCCACGCCTGCCAGTATGAATAATGATACATAGCTAGACAATAACTTGCAGCCATTGAAGAGTCACTGGGACATTTACCTGTGTCAGAATGCAGTTTCACAGAGCACAACCAGATAGCTGGGGGTGAAATCAGTCCCAGTTGTCCCCCTAAAAACTCTCTGCTAAACGAGTCCACCTACCCTGGGAGCCACCTTGGCACATCCCTAATACCAGGGCACACCACAAGCCCAATAAAGAAATGGAAACTTTTTTTTCTTGGTTAAAAACACTTTCAATTCCAGGCTGTGGTCCTTTGTGTAACTTTGAAGGTAAGCCTCCAAAATTCTGTACTTTAGCATATATTAGCATAACAAGGTAGCCAGAGCTACTCTCCAGAGCATAGCCTAGGGGGTTTTAACATAACAAGACAGGAAAGGCCAACAGGCTCTCCTCTTTGAAAGGCTGCAAATCATGGCCTGACAGTCCAGATAAGACCCTTGGCCAAGCTACAAGCCTGCCCCAACGTGGCTCAGGGGACACCAATAGTCACCAGACTCACCATCTGACTCTAAGGACCCCCAACGCTACCAGCCACTGAGTAGCAATGGAACCCAGCCAACAGAGCAGTCCAACTCACCACCATAGGACGCCACAGGGAATCCTCAAAAACACTGACCAGGCACACAGAGAAAGAGCTGAGGGCCCCTTGATTTACCAGAAATATGGCACCCAGTTCTTCCAAAATGACACATAAATGCAACATATCGCAACACCCTCAACAAGAAAGACAAAAAAACAAACAAACAAACAGTGGAGATAATGATGCACAAAGAAGAATCAAATGTGGATCTGCCACAAAAATAAATCTTCAGAAGGCTGCTTGGAGTACTACAAGAGATGAGGGCAGCAACACAGAATAAGGACACAATGACAGAAGAGATGAAGTCCACATAGAGGGGAGGAAGTCCACCATAGAAGGCATGAAGTCCACGCATCAAAGAGAAATACAAGCACTTACAGATGAGGTTACAGAAGCAAAATACAAGATCATGGATCACACGAGCAGACTAGAAGAGGTAGAGAATAGTACCACTGACCTTGTGGACGATAAGGCAGATTTCAATAAACGGGAAGAACAGTCAAACAATATCATCAAAGAGGTGGAAGAAAACTTGAGGTCAATGACAGATGCTATTAATAGGAACAACATTCGAATAATTGGGCTTCCAGAACAAGACACAATGAAGAAGTCAACAGCTAAATTAGCGAGGGAATTTCTAAAAGCAAACTTCCCCAACTTAATGAATGAGAATCAGACACTCATACAGGAAGCAGCAAAAACACCAATTAGATGAAACCCCAGGAAGAACTCACCAAGCCATATAATAGTGAAATTATCCAACTTCAAGGAAAAGGAAAAATTTAGGAGCAGCAAGAGGAGGACATGTCTGATCAGAGCACACAGGAGCAAACGAAGGAGGAGGAAGAGAGAGTGGAGTGCAACCTGGCCCACCAAGCCTTGAGGTTATTATCCCTGCTCAGAACAGCCAATACACAAAGAGAACCAAATGGCCAGCCCCACTATGAGACACGATGGCCCTCACTGACCCATGGCCCTACAGGGGACAACACTGAAGACACAGTGTTGGGATTGTGCCCAGTCTTGCCCCACAACACCAAGGCAAAACACTAAGGTCATGCAGCAGAGCAGCGGGAGGTGGGGGCGAGCAAAGCAGGGAGGTCTTGAGGGAGTGCCAAGGATAAACTTTGGGGCCAGGGCATGGCACCCCATCGGACTCAACTGGAGGACACTCCTAGTAGTCAACAAACAGACCTTGAACTATTTACAAGTTTTCCTTTTCTTTAACTTTAATTTTTATTTATTTATTTTGTCATTGGCTTTTTTTGTTGTTGTCATCATTTTGTTGCTTTGTTTTTCTATGTCTTGTCTTTTGCGTGTATATTATTATCTCTGCAGGCCTATCTAGATAAGATAGGCTGGATGAACAGTCTGGGGGAGAAAACAACGGGATCAATGGTTCCAGGGGGACATGGGAGAAGGAGAGGTGGAGGTGGGGGGATGCTAAGGCAATAATATACTCAGACCTATCAGCATAAACCATGAAGAGGAAGAGAGAGTGGAGTAACATCTTCCTAAAGCTGAAAGAAAATAACATCTGTCCGAGAATCCTCTACCCTGTCTATGAAGATAGACAGAGAGGTAAGAGTTTTCCATGACAAGGAAAACCTTAAAGAATACAGCATAAGACACCTAACCCCATGAAAAATCCATGCTGACTCACTATGGTCAGAAGACCAACATCCTCAAAGCACAAGCAGGAGACTACCATATAGCCCAACTCCACCCAGAAGCCAACGCTCCAATAACAATTACCAAGACAACATGGCCTCACAGGGAAAAGAAGACCAGAGTGAAGCCAAACACACAAACACAGCACACTGATATGAAGAGAGAAAGGAAAACACCCCACGCCAAAGGTACGAGATGACAGCAATGAATCCATAGATTGTGTTAATAACTCTGAATGTCAACAGCCTCAGTTCATCCATTAAAAGACAAAGGTTAGCAGACTGGCTCAGAAAGCATAACCCATCAATCTTTTGCCTGCAAGAGACACATCTTAAGCTCGCAGACAAAACTAGGCTTAGATTAAAAGGCTGGTGGAAAATATACCAGGCAGATAACTTAAAATAGCAGGGGTTGCATTCCTAATCTCTGACAAAATTGAACTCAAGGTGCAAACTATAACAGGAGACAAGGAGAGGCACTATATAATGCTCAAAAGATCAGTAAGCCAGGAATCAGTGAGAGAGAGAGAGAGAGAGAAACCCACAAGGAGGCTCCAGAAGTCCAGAGTTAGCTGAGAACGCCTCAAGAAGAAGGACAACGTCAGAGGTCTCACTTTACCTGACTGTAACACCTACTACACAGCCACCGTGGTCAAAACAGAAATAAAACCAACTGATCTTCGACAAAGGCTCCTAAAGCATCAAGTGGGAGGCTGATGCACTATTTAACAAGTGGAGCTGCTAGCAATGAATACCCACCTATAGAAAAATGAAGTAAGATGTTTACCTCACCCTGTACATAAGAACAAACTCAAGGTGGATCACAGACCTAGAAGTAAAATCCCAAACTCTCAGGACCATCAACAAAGGAATTGAGACAAACCTAAGAACCTTAACTGAGGGAATACATAGGCTACCTGCAATAGGGAAGGGTGTACAAACAGATGAATCTGAAATCGACAAGTGGGCTATATACTAAGAATAAAACACCTGTGTGTGGCGAAAGACTTCACCAAGGGGGTAGCAAGAGAACCCACAGACTGGGAGAGGATTTTTAACAATGACACAACAGACAAAGGACTTATTACTAAAGTCTACAATACCCTCCTAGCCTGCAAACATTGGAAAACAGCTAACCCCCTTAGGAAGTAGGCAAAAGACCTGAACAGAAATTTCACAAGGGAGGACAACCGAATGGCTAATAAACATATCAGAAAATGCTCCCGATCATTAGCCATCAGAGAAACGCCAATTAAAACAACCAGGCGATATTATCTAACACCCCTGAGGAGAGCCCAAATCAGAAAATCAGAGAACAACAAATGTTGGAGGGGATGTGGCAAGATAGGAACTCTCCTCCACTGATGATGGTTTTGGAGATACGTGCAGCCTCTGTGGAAAATGATCTGGTGATATTTAAAGCAAATGGAAATGGTGCTATCTCATGAGCCCGCTATCTCTCTAATGGGCATAAACCCAGAAGAGGTAAGAAATAAACCAGACCAGTTGTCTGTACTCCACTGTTTATTGTGACTCAATCAAAACAAATGATCACAAAGAATTGGAAACAACCTAAATTTCCATCAATAAATGAGTGGATTAGTAAACTCTGGCACATATACACAATGGAGTACTACACATCACTAAAATGTACGGATGATCACATAAAACATGTCAGTTCATGGGAAGAGTTTAAGGAAATTATGCTAAGTGAAGTTAGCCAACCACAGAAGGGCAAGTACAGCAGGAGTCCCCTGAAGTAAATACAATCAGCAGTGGGTATAGAAGAAAAACCACTTATCTAACACTATATCTAACACTATAAGGGAGTCGGGTGGAGGTTGGACCAAACCCAAGGAGGTACATGTTATTCCATCACAAAGAAGGGGAAAGGAGAGAGGAAGGGGAGGGAGAAAAGTGGGGGGAGGGAGAGGGTGGCACGTGGGGAGCAGGGCACTAACCCACCCAGGGGGAGAGTATTGTGTATGCCTCCACAGAATTGGGAGTGCGCATGCAGACCCCACCACTGTGCACCAAGCCTTGCGGGCAACGTAACTCTGTGGAAAAATGCATAAAAAGATTGGACTACAGGGTCAGGCCCAATCAGAGCCAAACTAACCCCCTCTCTGGATGTGTGCACTACAGAGGACAGCACTAAGCATATAGTTGGGGAGAGGGACTGGCATGCCACGCACACACAGACGCAAACCAAGAAGGAAAAAGAGAACGGGATGGTCTAGACCCCATATCGGCACACCAAGCCTGGAGGACAACACCCCTTCACGGAGCTGCTAAGGCACAGAGAGGCCTGTAGGGCCAACAATAGCTCAAGACAGGTAGGTTGTCCCCTCACTGGAGCATACCGCACGAGAGGGCAATAGTGGGGACGCACGGTGGGGAGTTAGTCCAGTCTGAACCACCCCCCATTCCCGCAGGGGGGCAAACCAAGAAGGGAACATGGCAGCACAGCAATGGGAGCAAAGCCAAGCCACAAAAGCCCTGAAGAGTCCCAAACATAGACTTCAAGCTTGCAGGCGCAGCTTACAGAATTCCCCAGGACCAGTGGGGAGACAGTCTTAAATGTCAGTGGGCAGACCTGGAATTATGTGTGTTCTTGGTTTTCTTTTTTCAATCTTTTTATTTGGTCGGTGTCATTGTTGGTTTGCCCACTTCGATAAGACAGGCATGGGAAGCAAGCTCGAGGAGAGAGCAATGGGACTGATGGTCCTGAAGGGACTTGGGGGGGAGAAGGTGGCAGGGAAAGGATGCAGTGAGCAAACAAAGCCATAGACAGGGAACAACTAGGGAAATAAAATCCACAACAAGGACGTAGAGATCCTGGGGGTGTTGGAGCAACAGCAATCTAGCTGAGAGGAATTACTAAGAGGCAGAAGTAGGGCGAGTGTGATGCTGGGGAAGGAGAAAGGTGATAGGAAACAAAGATATGGATAGAGGTATAAGCATAGGTGTATACATATAGTAATACATGAATTCATTAAAATAGAGGTGTTAGCCCATGTACATATATTTATATGGCAATAAACTAAGGTTGTGGACGAACTTCAGGCCTCTGTTCATACCCTCCTTCAATGCAAGAACACTTTGTTTTAACAACCTGGCATTCTGTGATGCTCACCCTACAAGCAAAATTGCTGAAGACAAAATGGTTGCATAAACAAATGTGGTGAAGAAAGCTGATGGTGCCAGGCTATCAAAAGATATAGCATCTGGGGTCTTAAAGGCTTGAAGTTAAATAAGCAGCCATCTAGCAAAGAAGCAACAAGCCCACATGGAAGAAGCACACCAGCCTGTGCAATCATGGGGTGTCACTGGGACTGGGCAACGGGCATCAGAAGACCCAAAACAAACAAACAAGCAAACAAACAAACAAAAAAGCCATATTGTTGAGGACGAGGGGGGTCAGAGCAGTAACCCAAAGCCCATTTGTAGACGATGGGACATCCCCTCACAGAGGCGTCACAGGGAAAGGACGAGTCAATCAAGGTACAGTAAAGCACCCTTGAAACACACAATAGTCCTCTGGTTCCTTGAGGCTTCCTCGCCCCCAACTATCATGACCCCAGTGCTGCCTTTCACTGCTTCCCATCTCTCATGTCACCTCAGGAGAACATTCCTTCCTCCACCACCCATAGGAGCCACTCAGTCTTCCAGAGCCCAGGTTGCCCAAACGCCCCCCTTTCCATCTGGAGAGTCTGCTTCCACTCCTGCACTCATTGTATTTTCAGGATGGGTAAACCTGACCCTCTAAGCCCCCTTGAGGGTGTGCTCCCTGTCCCAGGACTGGGAGGGACTGGATGCTGCAGGGAACATGCAAGCTTCCTTCTCACTT